GCTGTAGAATCCATTACGAACTTCAAATTCCAAATTTGAAACAATTCCGGTAAATAATGTCGCTAAATTCATTAAAATAATGAATATCGGGTGTATTTGTAGTTCAGGGTGGGTTCTAGCTCCGGCGGCAGATCATTGCAATTTTAAGTCCACGTTTTCCTATAGAGCACATATAACGATGCCCACCGATACTCGATTTTAATAATCCGAGTCACATTTACCCACGAATTTGGTTCAAATTTGGTATTTAAGAAGATTTGGTAGATGACAATACTTCAAGTAAGATTTTTTTTTTAAGGCATCCGCATAGCTTTGTAAACGTGAAATTTTAAATACTTTTAAATACAACTAAGGGTTTCTATAACGTGGATATTTAAAAACGAATTTTCGAAGACAGATATGGGACTGTAAAAACGTGAATTTTGTAAATATGTTTGAGAAGGCTTCAGAAACATGGATTTTGTAAATATTTTCGGGAAGGCTTTACAAACGTGATTTTTTAAAGATTTTTGAAGACAGTTTTCGACTCTAGAAACAGCAATTAGACTCTAGAATCGTGAAATTTTCTTTAAAAATTTTGAAGACAGCTTTTGTAAATATTTTGGGTAAGCTCCAAAAAACTTGAATTTGGAAAATATTTTTGGGAAGGCAGCCAAATGATCCAGAGTCATATATTTTAAAAAATTAGAGGTAAAATAAAAAAAATATGAATTTTTCAAAAAATTTTAAAAGTATTCAAAACCCTCTAGAAGTGTATATTAGTTCCGTTTTAATAATGATTTCTACAAAATTCTGTAAAAATGAATTTTTGGAATATTTATGCTGGTAGCGTTAAGTAAAATAGTAAAAGGACAGCTAAATGTAAACTTTTTGATGAATTTTAGAAAACATCCAAATCGAGATTTTTTCAAAAATTCGGGCCACTGTTTACATGTTCCACAGTTTCTCAAAAATTTCCAAAAAAAAAATTGACACTGATTTTTTAAAAGATTTTTAGAAACACCCAAGGTTTCTAGAAACGCAGCCAAGAGGAATCCTAAACGATATTTTTAAAGATATCTTTTAATTGACTGGCCCTAAAACATCTCCATTGTCATAAAAGTTAGGGAACTATTATTGACAGAAGCCAGCAGGTGGATCGTACCTATATGTTCCCTTAAGAAACGTTGATATTCGGATTAGTTATTTAAGCTGCCGACATTTATGGAATATATGAATGAATCTATCTAACGTTTTACACAGTAAATATTGAAGACTTATTTCTTATCTAAAATAATTTCATTTCAAGGCAAAGTTTGTGTCTTAAGTCTTTTGTTTTACTTTACCACTATTCATAGAAACTTCTGACAAATTTCTAAAATCACAAAAATTTAAATAAATCAGCTTTAGCTTTGAATATCCAATTGAAATAACAACATCAATGTATGTGTGTGTGTATAAAATATTACATTCATGGCAGGCGCAACAAATCGGAAACAGGTAGTTGTAATAAAAAAAAAACTCATGAAAAATTGAAAGATCATTGTGTTCATAGGAAGCAAAAGCTTTTTAAAAATATAGATAAAATTTGTATGTAACTTATTTCATTATACCCATAATCTGTTGGCTTATAGAAAAATGGCCTTAAGGGATTACCACAGCCAAATAAAACAGTTTAAATGCCCATGGGTTTGAGTATGTTTCGAACTGCTACACATTGCTTGAAATAAGCTTTTCTCGGTGCCTTTTGGCATTAACACTAACAGTAAACTCAAAATATGTTATTAATGAGTGAACATGACAGCGGACCTGTTTGAGCCATCAGACATCAGAGAGAAATATCTGGCTTGTCATAAGCATCAAAGATCACTCTTCAATTTTTTTAATTTCGATTTTTTTTTTTTTTTTTTTTTGGAAGAACCTAATAGCAATTATTTTGATTATATACTTTCATAAGCAAGAAAGAAGAAAAAAAAAAACAAAATTGAGTGTTACATGTTTGCAGGCTATATTGCTGGATTACTTTTTTTACTCGTCCAACTTCGTTGGAGTTTTTTTATTTTTTTATTTTTTTTTTCTTTCTTTTGGTTTTAGACAATTTGCTTGTCTTTCTTTGAGGCTTATCTATGTTTTCTGTTTTTTTTTTTTTTTTTTTTTTTGGTTTTATTTTTCTGATTCGTCATTGTCTGTCTGTCTGCCAGGCGTTGCTTATTTTTAGTTGCCATCTTGTGTGTCTGGCATTGTCGGTAATGTATTTCAAAGAAGTTTCCAATCGAATTGTATCGAATTGCAATATTTAACGCTTCAAGGTTTAATTTTTGTAAATTACAGCATTTTTTGGATTTATGTTGAAGTCTGCTACAGCAAGACAAATATGATGTGGAAGAAATGAAAAAGTAAAATAAGGGGAGAAAATGAGATATGTATTTGAATAAAATATTTCCTATTCCTACACTTTTGTAACAGGGTCCGCTTTAAAAGAGTACACTTTACTGGAAGCCTTTTAACTGATCCAAAAAATATCTTTCGAAAAATTCTGGTTCTAATGGACTTTGACTGAACCAAAAATTTAAAAAATAAGAATTAAACGTATCGTTAGATTTTGCTGCGCATGTATACCCTCACCTCTGTCAGGACTCTGTAATAAATATTGCGAAATATATATAAAAATAGTTGGTTCTCCTTATACATTGTCAAGGTGTTAAAAAGTTTGTCATTAGAACTCGAAACAATTTTGGGAATTTGATCTATAAACCGGGTACCATCAAATCCACTTGGAATCTTCCATAACCCAGACTGGCTATTGGATAGCAATAATATAGTAAATTTGCATAGAATATGGAAACAATTTTCCATTTTTATACCCTCCACCATTGTATGGAGGGGTAAATTAAGTTTGCCATTCCGTTAGCAACACCCCGAAATATTCCTTTTTAGAACCCATAAAGTATATACAGGGTGAGATAAAAAACTGCAAAAAAGTCAAACGTCATAATTTTTATATTTTGTCTAAAATTTTATTGAATGAAAGCAATAAAATGTCGGAAACAGCATCAAATTTTAGAATAAGTTTAGATTTAATCGAATTGGTCACTTTTGGCACGAATTATGGCCTTCAAACGGCCAATGAAACCGTCACACGCTGCCCGAATATTGCTCTGCGTTATTTTGGCCCATTCCCGGCAAAGCGCTTGCTTGTTGTGATCGACACTTTGGTATTTTTTAGTGCCAACCTTGCTTTCCCAAATACTCCAGACACAATAATCCAACGGATTGGTACCCGTAGATTTTGGTGGCCATTGTGCGCTGGAAATGAAGCGAAGAACCTCATTTTGTTAAAATTCTTGGGTGGCGCGTGCTGAGTGCGAAGGTGCTGAGTCCTGTTGGAAAGTCCAAGGTCTTCGACCAAAATATTTGCGTGCCCAAGGCTTCAATACAGGGTTGTCCATATTCGACGGACCCATCTGGCAACGCCATAACTTTTGACAGAGATGTCACATCGCTTAATGAACCGCGTTTGAAGCGTCAGTCCAAGCAGATTTTTACCATGGACCAATACTCAACGTGCTTTTAAAACATTAAAAAATGTGAGAAGTGCGCCTTCTAAGAACACCATTAAGTGTTTATACGAAAATTTTCGACTGGTAAGGCTCTTTCTAATCCGAAGGGGCCATATAAAAGTCGACCAAGGCGATCGGCCGAGAATATCGCTGCCGTACGAGCCAGTGTTGAGAGGTCCCCAAGAACATCCCAAAAACGCCGTTCTCAGCAGTTGGGCATGGCTCGGTCCACTTTACAACGGATTATTCGCATTGATTTGCATTTGTTCCCGTACAAAATTCAATTGACGCAAAGAATGTTGCCTGCGGACAAGCCTCGTCGATTGGAATGGGCCCAAAGAGTCATGGGTCCGTCGAATATGGGCAACCCTGTACACCCTCCAGAATATTTTCGCGATAATATTCGGCATTTATTCTGATGCCACGGTCGATTAATACGGAGCGGAGAGCGACCATCGGCTGTTATGGCGACCCACACCATCACCATGACCGGCGCTTAAGTTCTGCTGGCCAACCGACATTTTCAGCTGACCTTTTTGGCAAGTAAACAAGACCATTTGTTTGTTTACAAACTGCTGGACAACGAATATTTTCTCATCCGAGAAAACCAAATTCGGCAATTCACCACTTTTGGCAAAGCGAAGCAACTATTTAGCTCTTAAGACTCTATTTTCTTTTTCTTGCGGTGTAAGTTCTTGCACTTTTTGGAATTTCAATGGCTTTACCCCGAGCTCATTTTTCAATATTTGCCAAATGGAATACTGCGATATGTTCAGCCCAGTAGCCATTTTTCGGCCACTGCGACGCTGGTTTCGATCAAGTCGCTTCTTTACTTTTCGAACCATTTCTGCTGATGTGGCTGTTTTCTTCCGTCCTCTTCCACTTTCTTGACGTCAGGCTACGCTACCAGTATCACGGTAACGAGCGATGGCACCAGACACAATTTTTTTTCACATTTAAATGCTGGAGGGCTCTAACGATTGCCACTTTTGGATTTTCAGCCAAATATAAAGAAATCACCCTATCACGCTTGAATTCCATCACGAATAATTTTTTTCTGGAAAACCCTTTCCAAAATTTTTTGTACGCTGGTAAACTATATAATGAGCTGTCATTGGAATAATTTTAACAGCTGTCGGACGAGTGGCTTAGAAATGACAGCAGTCTGAAATTGGTTGCAGTTTTTTCATCTCACTCTGTATTTAGGTTACTTTTCGATATTAACTTTCAAAACACCGATACAAGTGTCTTCTATTTTTAGCTGATCTTTTATAATCTGCTGGATTTTTCAAGACAGTATTTTTTTTTTTTTTTATTATTATTCAAAACTCTATGTTTTAAAAACTATATTTTCTATCTTTCTTTTATTCAATACCAATATTATTTAAAAAGAGAATATCAAAAACAAATTGCGAAAAATACTAATTTCCCTCTCTCTTCTCTCCCCCTTTTCTCTTTGCAGATCACCAAACTATTACCGCTCATCGAATCGCATTGTTCGAACACAATACGTTTCCTGTTGTGCTCATCGCTCTTCCCCCTCTGTACACCCGATGTACCGCGGCCGGTGACAGCTTGCAAGTCGTTGTGTGAATTTGTAAAGAGCGAATGTTCGTCACACACCGAGCTAATGCAGTTATGGCCTGAATTTTTAAAATGCGAACAACTACCCAGCCCCGAACATCAAGAGCTGTGCATGCAAATACCCACAATACCGACAGTGAAGACAAACGCCCCCACAGCAATGGTGATAATCGTACCGCGGCAGAAGATAACGGGCGGGCACAATCACTGCCAAGACAGCTGCAAATACCACAACAAGTGCATCAACATTTGCCAGCACAGGCGGGGGGACCAGCCATTGCAGCTGCGCCACCTCCACCACCCAGTCATCATTTCTATTGGCCATGGATGTCACAGCACATAATCAGCAAGGCCATTAAGCCCACTGCGATTTGTCCCACAAACTTTACTGTGAATCCTTTTAATGCGGACGAATGTGTGCCGCAGTGCAGCAGAGATGGTTTCCATACGACCCAGCAAAAGAAAATTGCCGAAAGTCTGATTTTGGGTCTCTCGGCCATATGTTTTGTTCTGACGCTCTTCTCTTTGGTCACCTTTTGGGCTGAACCCACACGCTTTGGTTATCCCGAAAGACCAGTGCTGTTTTTGTGCCTGTGCTATAATCTCTTTTCGGTATGCTATTAGAGAGAATCGTTTTCCATAACTCCTCCAGGGCAATGGCATTAATGGAAGATCCGCTGAGCAAGACCCAACATCCGGCATGTTCGTTGGCACCACCCTGTTGGCTTCGTACATTACCACAAGTTATTTGAGTCTGTGTGCTGCCACCTGGTGGCTGATATTTGCCTTGTGTTTCTATCTGTCCTCGCACAAGAAATGGTCTTCGGAGGCATTGGAAAAGAAATCGGGCTTGTTTCATGTCCTGGCCTGGGTACCACCATTGGCTCCACCCATTGCCGCGCTGCTGATGGAAAAAGTAAAACCCAATGAATTGACGGGCATGTGTAGTGCTCCTGGCTTTGTGGAAATACCTACCATTGTCCTGTTGCTTCTCGGATTCTTCTTTACCCTGCGAGCCTCTAGATCTCTACATGCCCTGCAACAACAGATGCTGCCCACATTTGGTCATCAAAGATTTTCACAAATTCGCAAAAGGTTTTTGATTTTCTCGCTGCTCTTCTTTGTGCCCACCTTAGTTGGGGTGGTGTCGAGATTTTTTGAACCCCATATGGACTCGGTACCAACATGTTCGACACGAGAAGATTGTGCTTCGCCAACACCATTAATTGCATGGCCAACATTGTTGCGGTTATTCTTTCAGTTGACCGGTGGTACTTTGACCGGTATGTGGGTATGGTCCCGTAAGACATGTGAGTCCTATCGCAGCCGTTTGGTGCCAACACCCACATCTTCTATGACCAATACCACCACCAAATCGGCTGCCTCGCTGCCCAAAAAGCATTTGCATACCTCGGGAAAATCCACGATTGGAGCGCCTCTATACAGCGGCATAAATTTCCATAATGTGCCCGTCTACACCACCACAACCATAGTGCCCAGAGTGTAGCCTCAAGGGGTCGATGTAGCTGATGATGCTGCTGGCAAACATCATACGAGGGCGGGTGTATATAATCCTGGGTATTTTGTATTAATTTAAGCAATTAATTTTAGTCGAAGTTGTAAATAATCCAATGAAAGAACTCGAATGTTGTTTTCTGTGTATAAAATAATTAATTTATAAATTTAAAAATAAAATAAAATTAAAAAATATTTGTAAATTTTATAAGGACACACACACACCCAGTCTCCCAGTAATACTGCTCCAAAAAATATTTATTTTTGTTAAAAAATAAATAAATATTTGGAAAAAAATTTTATCATAATTTCAGTTTGTAACTGAATTTGATTTATTTTTAAATGAAAACCTTTCTGAAATTCTGGTTAATTTTTGTTAATGGTTTTTTAATAGGCATATAGGACTCATTATCATAGCGAACATTTCATAGGGCAACAATATCACTCCAGTCAGGAATACTTAATAAAAAATACCATAAAATATTATTTAGGAATTCATTATTTAAAAAAAATTACATAAAATTTTACCATTTTAGGATTCAAAGAATAACCTCACCCCCCACCTCATTTCCTGACTCTGCGCCTGTATGCAACTAAATCTAATTAATGTGTTATTAGTTTTTAATAATATTTAATTTATTTGCGTTTTTTTTTTTTTTGTACAACCAAAATCATTCACAATAGATTTGTGTATTTCATTTATATTTTGTTCATTTTTTTCTGTGTTAAGTTTTATTTATAGTTTGACAAACAAAAGGCGTATTGTATATAAATTTATTTAAGTTGACATAATTTACACAAAAGTATTTAGTATTAAAATTTTGAACAAAACAACAAAACCACAATTGCGAAAAAAATAATAACGAAATATCTATTCCCAAAAATAAATGAGAATTATTTCAAATGTTAAAATAAAATCTTTCGGTGTTTTCTTTTTTTGGGGTGGGGGTTAATAAAAAGGTGGTTAGAGTGATTCAGAATTCAATCATACTGGTCCAAATAACAAATTTTGGATAACACCAATTAAAACCACTAAGGAAAAGTCAAAAGTCGGGCGTGGCCGACTATATGTCTACCCAACACAACAATGCATATTTAGCAGAGCTTCCATAAAAAATAATTTTTTTGAAGTAGATCATACCACCTATCTACATTTGGCTTTATGGCAGTTATAATTTGGTCTCAGAGGTAACTAATATATGGGAGGCATAACCAATTCTGAATCGATTTTCACTTAATTTACGAAGGCATTTATATACCAAATAGCATTGCTATAGAATATAGGATATCACTTCGAGAATGACTATATCAAAAAAATATATATCGGAACCGAGTTTTACCAAATGGAATCGTACGTCCCGAAATTCACTTCATTTGGTACTGATATTAGCCATTATTTGCACAATAATCCTGAAATCGGATTAAGGATATATATGGGAGTTATATCCAAATCATAGCCATTCTCGATAAAATTTGGTAAAAGGTATTTCTGAGCTCTATAAGATATCTGGTACCAAATATCATTGTTGTCGAATGCATATACGAATGTGAGGGACTTAAACCCCCAAATCGGATAAAACATATGCATGGGAGCTAAAGGTATATCTAAACCGATCTCCACCAAATTTTATATACTTGGACTTATATTGGCCACTTGGTGCACAATTAACCCGAAATTGGTTGAAGATATATATGAGAGCTATATATAAATCTGGTCCGATTATCACTATATCAATAGGGTTTGTCCTATTATCGACATTATGATAGTTTCATCAAAACATCAAATGAAGAAAAGTACAGCTATATGGGGGCTCTTTGAGGACCAGGAACTACATAGACAATTTCGGTAATAAATTGTAGTACCCATTATGACCTTCAAATACGAAATTGGAAAAAATTCCGGTCAAAAATGTAGTTAAAATCATCAAAATACCGAATATCGGGGGTTACCGTTATATGGCGGCTCTACGATATAGCCCTGCCGCAGGCATCGTGATTACAACTGAAGGACTGACAAGGCTAAATCGTCTTAGCATTTTACGCTGATCAAGAATATGTATATATTGAATGACGAACGTAATATACCCTCCATACTATGTGTGGTGAAAGATATAAAAAATAAGTAAAAAAGAAGCTAAGTTCGGTCAGGCCTAACTTTTTATACCCTCCACCATTTGGAAGAAACTTGAAAATTTTTGAAAAATTCTGTGAAAAAATAACTCTCAAATGAAAACCGCTATATGGGGGCTATACGAAGACGTGGTCCTACATAAGTAATTTGTATCATGGGCTGTAGTAATGGTTCCGAACTTTATATAGAAATTTAAATATTTGCGGTAAATAATGTCGCAAGAATCATGAAAATACCGAATGTATGGGCGCTATATTAAAACGTGGACCTATTTAAAAATCCTCTTTTAAGGCGAAAATTACACAGAAGGAAGACCTTGTGTGGATTTTAAGACAATTCCATTGACAAATTTGGCTCAAGTTAAAAAATACTGAGTTTCGGGGGGGTATAGTTATATGGTACCATACGATATCGTGGACCTATATAGACAATTCTCTTCCAGGGGAATAAACTACTCAAAAGGAACTCCTTGTGTGGATTTTCAGACAATTCGATTGAAAAATGTGACTAAAATCATCAAAATACCGAATATCGGGGAGTACAATTTTATGAGGGCTATACGATATCGTGGGCCTATATAGACAATTATCTTCCAGTGAATAAAGTACTAACGAAGAACTCGTCGTGTAGATTTTCAGACAATTCCATTGAAAATGTGGCTAAAATCATGAAAATACCGAATATCGGGATGTACCCATATCGTGGACCTATATGGACAATTCTCTTCTAGGGGATAAAGTACTCACAAGGAACTCTTTGTGTGAATTTTCAGACATTTTCATTGAAAAATGTGGCTAAAATCATCAAAATAGCGAATATCTTGGGAACCGTTAACCGCATAACAATTAAAAGTTTTTATGGGAGAATTCAATCATATACGCTAGATGATAATTATAATTTAAAGTTCAAAGGACTAAATATGCCGAAGCATTTGTATCTTTTAAATTCGGACTTGTATCGCTCATTTGGTGTACAATTAATTTAAAATCGGATAAAGATATATACGGGAACTACATCCAAATCGGAACAGATCTCGATAAAATTTGGCAAAGATATTTCTGAGCTGTATTTGATATATTTCCCTGAATATCGTTGTTACGGAGTGCATATTACGGCTGTGGGTAAGAAATATGTCAAATCGGATGAACAGTATATATGCGAGCTATAACTATATCTGAACCGATCTTTACCAAATTTGACATACTAGCTTCTAGACTCAATTCGGTCATAAGTGCCAAATTCCGTCCCATTTGGAAAAATATTACACGTTTGGTGCACAATAAAAGGTAAATCGGACGAAGTTATATATGGGAGCTATATCCAAAACTGAACCGATCTCGATAATATTTAGAAAATGTATTTCTGAGCTGTATTTGATTTATTTCCCCAAATATTGTTGTTACAGAGTGCATATTACGGCTGCGGAGGACAAAAATAACAAATCGGATGAAAAATATATATGGGAGCTATAGCTATATCTTAAGCTATTTCGATCAAATTCGGCATACTTATTTTCAGGCCTAATTTGGTTGTATGTGCAAAATTCGATACTATTCGGGCTGATATTACACGTTTGGTGCGCAACAAAAAGGAAAATCGGACGAAGATATATATGGGCGCTATAGTTAAATTTTGACCGATTATCTCCAATTTCAATAGCGTTCGTCCTTGGGCCAAACAAATGATTTGTGCAAAATTTCATCTGAATCGGGTAATAAATGCGAACTGTGCTTTGTTTACAAAAATACATGGACAGACGGACGGACATGCATAAATCGACTCAGAATGTGATTGTATGCAGATCATCAAAAGGAACTATGGGTCTATCATGTTTCCTTTTGCCTGTTACAAACAAATGCACAAAGACATAATACTCTGACCACCTTGTGGTGTAGGGTATAAAAACATTAAGTTCGGGAGCTAGAATCCATTACTAACTACAAATACTAATTTTTAGACAAATCCGTGAAAAATTGTGGCGATAATCACTAAAATACCGAATATCGGGAGGTACCGTTTATGGTGGCTACACCAAAACGTGGACTGATATATCCCATTCTCAATAACAACCATCCTAAACACAATATAAATTTTTGTGCCAGATCTGCGTCAATAATGTGGGCTGTATCGTGTCAACCGACAGACAGGCGGACATTGTTAAATCGACTTAGAATTGTATGCTGATTATGAAAACTGGGAAAACATTTTTAGATCTAGAGGACTTCATCTCAAATATATCTGTTTATCACATCCTCTGCTCTGCCTGTTAGAAGCATTTGCATTCTTATTAAGATAGTGCCTAAAGTTAAAAATCTCCTTTCGGCGAAGGGAAAACAACCACTACATTCCTTATTCGCACATCAATACCAAATACAAAATTAATTGGATATTTGTTTTGACTAAAAAAAATGTTTGCAAAATAACCAATCCTTAGTCGTCTTTTCCTCCGTTATGTTAACCGACTGTCACTCCATGTACGCGGTAGGTAAAATGTAAAGAAATCTTCGTTGCAGGTGGCAGCGGATACGTGTAGGTATTTTTTTAGCATATTGACATTTGCCAACTCATATTTGCTTCCAGTGATGATGACGCTTTCAGAATTCCATTATGACAAAATGAGTTTCAGACGCACACACACACACAGAGATGGTAATATCAGGGTGTGGCCGCGAACAAATCAAACAATTATTCCTACAGCAGAGGAAAAAAAGTCACCGAAAAGATCTAAGTTCAACGCAATTTGATGCCATGAAAAATGATAATAATCCGAATATGATGTAAAGCTGGAAGAAAAAAAAAAAAAAAACCACGAAATTGTCATTCATGGGGTCATGCATTACAGATTGATTCCCACCAGGTTTTTTTTTTCTCATTTTGTAATGCAATCCCATTAGTCACCCGAAAACGACAAAAAGTAGAAACGACACAAACAAAGATAACGATGATAATTTTTTTTCGCTTCACAAAGGACTTCAAACAGTGCCGCTTAACAAACATCAGCGACAATTGCATGTCCAATATTTCATTG